GTATTTTTGTTTTGTTTTTTTCTATTAACAGAGAGAGGAAAGGAGAGGGAGAGAGACAGAAACACCAATGATGAGAGTCACTGATTGGCCACCTCCTACAGGGCCCCCACCAGGGACTGAGCCCACAACCCGGGCATGTGCTGGGACCGGGATCGAATCCTGACCTCCTGGTTATAGGTCCACACTCAGCCACTGAGACATGCCGGCAGGGCTCAATGGTATGTTTTTTTAAAATAGAGTCCTAGTGGTTAAGTCCCTACTTGACCCTACTATAAAATGAGAGTCCTCCTGAACACATATTCCACTCTGAGCATAAACATCTGTACTCTCATTGTACTGGTCTTTTTGGTATTACAGCTTTGCAACCACAAAGAAATGCCCAGTTTCATAGACCCTCCAGGCAACCAAAGCCACTCCTTAGTTTATATTTGGGCAGCCTGGTTTACTGATTTTTAAAAAAATTGAATGCCATTGTTTTCTAAAATACTTTTTTTATTTATCAAGGTGACTTTCAATCTTATTTTTATGGCATAAGCTAGGCCTCCTGAGGTGGTGCTATATACACAAACAAAATAAATACTTTTTATATTGCAGTATTCAGCTTAGTGATAAAGTTGAATACTCTGCAGTCCCACTAAACTGCCTTTTTTACTGTCACTTCCCATATAGTGACACTTTATTCCTAGCTTCAAATCTATTTAAACTGATCAAATAAATGTATTAATGAACAACTGAGTACCACTAAGTTCTTGATACTAAGAGGTCATCTAGACATCTAAAAAGTGACAAACTTAACAGTTTTTGGATGATTTAATAGACATTCATTTATAGTACATTTAAGAACCAAAAGGCTTGATGAATATTTAAACTCATACATTCTGTTAAAGTCTCTATTTCTGTACTTGTACTTATATGTTTACACAATTTCCACAAATGTACCCTGCAGTCCCTGAGGCCCGGGCTGGATAAAGTGGAGGACAGTGTTTGATGTCATTGGATAGTTTAATATTATGCATATCGAATTAAAATCCCAACTCAATCTATCTGTTTATTACTCTGGCATAGGGAGAGATAAGACAAATAATATCCAGGTGTAGAAAAGAAAATAATTTAAGTATTTGAAAAAAAGGGCCTACAAATAGTTTTTGCTGAATATGTATTGAGTAATATGGGGGGGGGAAACTTACATAAATTTGGATGAGTCAATATGGAGCTTGATATAGAAAAGTTTGTAATTAATCTAAAATCTATAATTGACTGTGTTAAGAATCAGGCCTGGTCACTACATGTTACACACACCTTTTTCATGAACCAAACTGAGGCGTGCTGCTTGCTGGTCTCTGAGAATCCCAAACATGAGATAAAGACAACGTAAAAACTACCCAGGTTCACTAAACTTTAAGAAATCTTGAGGCCTCTTCGACCATAGTTTTTAGTATTTGGAGAAGAGCCCATGGGATTCTGTCATCTGTGACACGGAGCAGTTGTTACCCCAGCATGTCACCCGGAGATCGTGTTGGAGCAGTTGCCGCATGCTCTCCAAGTCCCCCAGTCTCTGCCCTCTGGTCTTACATATTTCTTGGAACTCACACAAAAACATTCTAAGCTACATGACATTTAAAAATATACTTTACCCTCACATACTTACAGTTTTAATTCCCAGCATCTGGAAAGCAACCTCTTTGTCAAACTTTGAGTTCAGTGGACAGAGCTAAGAATTTAAAGGCTGTTACTGCCTTTAGCCAAGTTAAAAGACAAAACAAAACATACAAAGCAATGCCATGGAGATGATAATTCTCCTATGCTAATATTTACCTTGTGCCCTTCTTTCAGGGGGACTCAAATGACAAAGTGCCTTTAGTATGCACTTACTCCTATGAAGTACAAAATATCATTTTCATTAAAAATGAAAGAAAACAAGCACAGAGAAGTTCCGTTTCAAAAGTGGTTTGTCAGAAGATAGAAGTAACATTCAGCTTCCCACTTGCTCTCTGCTCATCCATTTTTTAATTTACTTTTATTTTAAAACAGTGTCTTCCACCTTATCATTATTAGAATGCAAAAAATTTCTCTCACATTTTCTCTCTGGAAATCAAATGAAATTAGCAAATACAGTCCTATCCCTGTGCCAAGCACCGCGAAAGCACTCGATATAACAAATATTATTTAATTCTGAATCGCATAAAACACTTAGAAAAACGCCTTGCAAAGCTCAATGAATATTTCTATATTACTTGAATTAGCAAAATATATAACAGAATTTTCTCTTTCTTTAAAAGAGCAATATTATATTCTGCTTGGGAAGGAAAATAAGTCAAACTTCAAGTATTTTCGACTCCTTATTTATGGAAATACAACTAATTTTGAGCTTTATGGTAGACCCTCGTTAACTAGAATACTTATTTTAATTTAATGAATATCTAACTTATTTAGCCTTAGAAGTTAACTAAAATAAAAATTATGGTAGTTTGTAGATCAACCAAATAAAAAAATACACAAGCAAAAACAAAAGAATGTTCTTTCTAAAATACAGTCTGTTAAATCTAATGGAACGTGTCTGATCATTGAGACATAAAAAGATTGTTAACAATTTTTATTCCTACAGCTATAGCAAAAAGAAATTTAGAGACACAATGTGTTAGCATCAGGATATGCCCTGAATTTTTTCTCAAATAAATTCCTGATTAAAGGTTCTTATTTTTGTTTTATTTTGGAGGTTGTTGGTTCCCCCTCCCACCTCCATTTACCTCTTTCTAACATGTATTTCCTAGGCCATTCTAACTCAGTAAGAATAAGGGGACAAATGGTAAGTTCCCATCTGAGTCTGTTCTGGTGGAATTTCAGCACCCCCTAATTTCTGCCGTATATGTCCTAGGGGTCCCTAGATGGATTTACCCTCATCGCTACCTCGTGGCATCTATTCTGTCCTGCTCCAGCCTACTGTGGCTAATACTGCCAATGACCTTCCGTACCAAAAGTGGTCCATGTGTCTAATTGTTGCCCAGCATAGAATCTGCAGTTATTGCTACAACCTTTCAACATTAGCAGAGAGGCCACTACTGAAAGCTGGAGGCTGTGTGCCGAAGGCCATGGTGAGGGTGCCATGGCACCGCCTGAATCTAAGCACCATCCAGGGAGATTTCAGGGGAGCCACTCTTCCCGACAGCATCATATATGTGGCCTAGGTAGGTTGACAATCTAAGTGACTAACACAAGGCACCACTTCCTTCCCTTGTGTGCCAATTGCCTTTGAACTCAATTTGAACATCCTATTCCATTTCCTTTAGGATGAATTCTTTATCAAGGTTATACATATATGTGTGTGTGTGTATATATATCCTCCAGATTAGCCCTGCTGGACCTCTAAAGATGCCCAAATCCCAGGGTAAATGTGGTTGAAATTTAAACTACAAACCCCGCTTAATTTAACCCATCCATGCCTTTTATAAAAATGACTATTCAAATAGTTATAAAATGCAGATTTGAATGCAAGGATATTAATGGTATATGTATTTACAATTTCAGTTAAGGAAATGACTGGGCTCACACAAAGAATAAGTTTACCAGGCCTCTCTATGTGCACCCTTTGCTAGGCACTAGGAGTACATCAAAGCACAGTTTGGACAAACAGCATACACATTTTTGCTGTTAGATTGGGCTAGTGTTAAAACACATGAGCCCTGGTTGGTTTTGCTCAGTGGTTAGAGCACTGGCCAGTGGACTGAAGGGTCCTGGGTTCGATTCCAGCCAAGGGCATGCACCTCGGTTGCAGACTCGATGCCAGTCCTGGTCTGGGCACATGCAGGAGGCAACCAATCTATGTGTCTCTCTCACATTGATGTTTCTCTCTCTCCCTTCCACTCTCTCTGAAAAGCAATGGAAAAAAATCCTTGAGTGAGTTTAAAAAAAACCCAACACACACACATGAAATCTTGCTGCAGCTTATTATTAAAGACATTCTTTTTTTTACATCAAAAATCTACTATAACTTACACACTTGGAATAGTTTCCCAGTGTGTGTTAAATAAATGAGCAGATTGCTGAAACAGATTACTATGACAAAAATGTCCAGTTTGACATGTTATACTTTCCTTTGTTAACTCGAGAATTTTCTTTCATATACCACTGGCTTCTCTTTCCTACTGCTTTCAGCTCAGGTAATTCCACCGCATGTGATTCTCTTCCCCAGACAGGATACACATTTATTCCTTTTAATGCCTTTCCTTATTATCTAGTCCAATTACCTGAGGATGGTCTTTGATGACTTAAATCAACTGAGCCTAGTCACAAGTTTCCTTTGGGATGGCCACAAAAACTAAACTCTTATCTATTTCCCTTACTATTCTATTGGACCAGGTTTTTCTTAAACGTTGGCATTTATGGTAAATAAAAAATAAAATAAAAATTGTTTATACTTAACCACTTAAAATTATACTTACCTATTTAAAAATCACATTTGCCTTTACAAAGACACTATTTAATTTCCAAAACACCGTATTTCATCTATTTTAATCTGTGATATGAGAAATTGTTTTTTCCTAAGGAAAACACATTTTGAGTTTTAAATAACTTTCAGACTTTAACTTATGTCACTAATTGATCTAATACAAATGTTCCTTTAGAATATGTCACTCACTCGAATGCTACAAAGTTATATAAGTCAGCTACCAATTTTTTTAAAAAAAAGAGATTCTCTATTTTTCAGTCACAAGTTACTTAAAATTATTATATTGTAGTATATATAGAATAAAGAGAATGAATATATATGATATTGTTAAGGGAAGAATATTGTTATCAGATATCAAATAGGGATAAATTACTATATAAAATATAATTGCTAATCAAAATAAATATAAAAGTATTTAAGCTATGGTTTCAAATTTATGGAGAAATATTTAAAAATGTGTAAAAATCTCAACTCATAATAACTAAGGGAAAGTATAAGCTTATATGGAAAAATCCAGGGTATGAAGATAAAAAAATAAACAACTTACAATATATTGATGTTTGTACAAAATGATTTAATATTCATTTATTAGAACTAAAAACAGAAGTTAATTTGGAAGAATATTTCTTCGCTAACATTGTAGGCAGGTTAAAAATTGACTTTGACTTTTTGGTTTATAATTTCATTCTTTTCATTTTAAATATTCTGGGTCCAAATGGAATATTATGATTAACTCTTTTTAAAAAAACAGCGTCACACATAGTTAACATGAAATCATGACTCTACTTTATATCCCTTAGCCACAGGCACATTGAGAATCAACAGATAGTCACAAAAGACAAATATCTGTGGAATAATAGTTGAATAACTGGATAATCCTGAGAAAACGTGAAGTTGAATGCAGTCAGTTCCACCTTCTTCCTGCTTATACAGATCACACTAGATGTCATCTTGATTAAATATTTACTTCCATGGAGGGGCAACAATGGATTCAGGGTACAGGCACTTAAACTATTCTGAAGCTATCTGCCAAGAACTACTTTAAAATCACACCTATTTTCTTCAGCTTCTGCTTCCAAACTAATGTACTAAGTAGAAAGTAAAAAATGACCTTACCAAATTTTAATATGAACGTACACTTATGTGACATTCTCTCTGCCAATATTAATTTGGGAGAAAAAGAATTGATATTGCTTGAAATAAATACATCCATGAAGTCCGGAGTGTCTGTTTTGAAGTACTGTGTGCTTGCTCAGTTTTAACCTTGTGGAGTTGCTCAGCCATGGAAACTTTGGAAAGATTCTGACATATAGATATTTCTGAAGGAAATAAATAGAAGAAGGAAAGGCAGGAAATAAATCTGCTGTGCAAAAGCCTAAGCTGCCCATCCCAAGTGGATACAATAAAGCATCCTGTACTCCCAATTTCACTAGGGAGGGGAGGAACTCAGAAACTACTTAAAAGCTGTTTCCAGAAATGATGGCAGTTGCTGTACAAAAAGGCAACTAGCTCTTGCTTATAATTAAACATGATTAACGTTCTAGTCCTTTGGTAATCTCAGCTTTAAAGTTACACTGCTCTAAATTTTCAAGGCTTGCACTTTCAGAACACCGAAAGGCAATTAGCCCGTTACCCCCTTATCTCTGAAAGATGCCCCATCTAACAGCAATGAGGAATGGGTGAGATGTTAGAGTCAACCTAGTTTGGCTAACTGTGGGTTCTGCCTTTAGTAAATGCATAAGGACTATGGTCCCGAATTACAAAGTCAATTTTTCTAAGAGCAAAATAAAAAATCTCTTTCACTCACTGCTAATGTTTTTAAATAACCTGATATTATCTATGAAGATCATATAATTTCCAGATGACTAAAAATTAACCCACTAATAATTAGAAACAGCTTTTTTACTGCAACTGAACTCCTTTTCTGAATACCAGAAAATGTACATTTCAAAATTTTTTAAATTCATATTTTTTGTAAATATACTTGGCTTCTGGAAATGACTCTTTCCTCAATGTTTTATTTTTATGCTATTAATTTATTACAAAGTGTGCAAAAGTTTTGATTATGTTCAGCTTACCAAAATAATAAATCCTATGTTGTAGTACTTGGGAATTCCTTAGGTTATAATGAGTTTTAAAATCTACTTTTGTGAATGATGTAACACTGAATATTCTATTCTGGATTTGTGTTTATAAAATGCCTTTGCTGTAGTTATAGTTCTGCAATTTGTAAGGAGAGAGCAAAAGAGAATGACTACTTTCAAAGGAGGTTCCTCAAGCACAGAGTAAGAAACCAGTAAGGTATGGTGTAGTATAGTATTAAAAATACAGTCTTTTGTGTCTAAACTCTAGTTCTACCAATTCAGAGCTGTGCAACTCTTGGAAAATTATTTAACTTCTCTGAGGCTTAGTTTTCTTATTTGCAAAAAGGAGGTACTTACTTCACAGGGTTATTGTGAATATTCAACTACTAGATTATATATTTAACACTGAGTTCCATTCCCTGCCTAGCTTCCTACCCTGATGAGCTTCTTCTTCTAGTACAGAGCTGGTTATGGCTCACTAAGAGTTACTTTCCCCTCCTTCTCATTGTCACAGGTCCACTAAAAGGGATCAAAATGACTGCCTACCAATTAAAACTGGCCTGCTAGGTTATATCCATAAATCAATCTCAACTTAATTCCTCAATCTGGCCTACTATGATTATTTTAAGCACCGTGTGTCCTTGTTGTCGGGTAGAATTCGACTAAACCCTTTTTGGTTGATTGCTGTTGTGTCAGGAAATATAAACATTTTCTCATTTAATTCCTAACAGTTTGGGAGAGGCAGGAGTTGAAAGCATTTGGGCGGTGATGTGATGAGACAGTATGTCATAGACACTTTGGTACCATTACTTATTAGCTATGTGACCTGGGGCATTATCTCTCTAAATCTCAATGTCTCAATTATCAACTATAAATAATGAGGGCAATGGTACCCACAAAACATTGCTGTGGTGACTTCATGTTCAGGCTCAAGACCTGGTGTAGAGTAAGCGTTCAGTAAATGCTTCTTTTCCTGACTGTCATGTTTTCTCCCATCCTATTTCTTATCATGGTTTTAAAATACTATGGAAAATTGATTTAAATGACATAGATATTTTAATGCCATCATTTAAGTTATTTAATAACATAAGTATTAATATTTGACTGAATCTTGAATTTTAAAAACAATAAAATACTGCCCCATACAGCAACTTAGAAGGTGTTACATTTAAAGCGTTGTGGAAACCCTTCCCACTTCTCCAGTGATGCACTGTTTCTTGAATTCTGTTCTTTGTGGGTGAGGTAAAGCCGAGTTAAAGTTTCTGTAATGGATATGGAGCTTTTCTTTCACTACTCTAAGAAAGGCAAAGGGCTGCTATGATCTGAGTGTCATCATCAAATTGAGACAAAGGAAGCCTTAAGGCCTTCCACCAGGTCCCACAGCCACAGAAGACTGGACCAGGTGCCACCTATATTCATCACAGCGCTCCTAAGAAAGCACTGCGCAGTCACACCGCATTGGGCTCAGCATAAGAAAAGAGCAAAGACGTTTGTGAGCAAAACGCCTAAGCATTGCCATACTAACCCTAAGACAAACATTTTTGTAGAAATTTACATTTCTAAAAGTTTTTTTTATATTAGCAAAAGGAGAGGGATAATTCGGGTTTTTCAATGCCTGCTGGCTTTATATAAAGTTGAAGGAAGACATGACTATAAAAGGTTAGCAGCTGATGGGTAAGTGAAACACAGGCTCCCTGGAAAGAGTAGAAAGAAGCACATCCTGGCTGGTTTTCAAACAAGGAAAACACATTCCTCTGATGTACTTGTACTACAGGAGGCTGATACTTTGCAAACACCCTCAGGCAACATAAAAATATGCTGAGCTATATAGTTTAAATGTTTCTGAGCTACCCAACCAGCTGTATATGCTCCAGAGGAAAAGTAATAAAACATTAATAAAATATAACAAGTTATCCTGTAAAATTTAAAGGCAGCTATAAACAAAAAGGCTTTGTCTTATTTACTCATAATCTGAAGTTATGAAAACCCCATAAAGAGGTGTTATAAAGGGCAACTGAGAGTATTAGGGTCCTTTTATAAAAGGAAAGACTGGAATAAATGGTTAAAACCCATACACCATCTCTCCACTAAAGTTTCTATTTAAGACTTAAGAAGATCTTTAGTCTGAAGAAAACAATTTAGTTACATTTTTTTACCATAACCATTTAAAAACCATGTGTCTATAGAGACATTCCATCAATAGCATAATTAAGCACAGTTAACTCTATCACACAGAACAATAACTTTACTGTACACAGTATGTTGGTAAAAATATACATCATACCTCCAATTCTGCCCCTACAGAAATCTACTGGCATGTTACAAAAACTGTCCACCATGTTCTCTGGACAAATATTTATAGCCACATTCATCTTCTATTTTAATATCTATTTGCAATTATAGTATTTCATTTATTTTTGTGTATGAAGTTTCCAAACTTTTGCATAAATCCTCGGAACTTGTTTTCATTTGGCTGATATGTGTGGTAAACATTAGTGCTGTAATTAAGCCTTGGGCTGGACCTGCCGTAACTATTGCCCACAGTTGTGGATTTTATTTCTGGGCGGTGTATACTGGTATTTGACATGCTGCTCGTTGGCTGAATAGAATTCTCGATCTTACAAAAAGGCTCAAAACGACTGTAAATGCGCCGGTCAGTTGACTGAGTTCTTAGCAGCTCGTTGGGCTTTGGCCTTGGGGGAGCTGGTTTTCTCACAGGAGCAACAACTCTATTCATCTCCTTGGGATCTCGGTATTGAATCTGTTCTGTGTTAAACCTGGGGGCAGAGGCATCCCCTGCCCTTTCTAAGAACGTGTTCTCAACTGGGCCTGGAGAAGGTAGCAGTTCATCGCTGTCGTCGGATGGAGAGTTTATCCCCTGAGCGGAGTTGACTGTTATATCTTCCTTACTCTTGTGGATGCTGCCTTGAGAGTTGGAGGAGGAAGTGCGCTTTCTCCGAGGGGAGGAATCAACTTTCGGTTCTGACTTTCTTGGGTTTTGATTCTCTTCAGCCTCAGAAACTAAAGTGTCAGAGCTGCTACACATCCTATAAAAGGGAGAGGCTTTATTTTTGGACAGATTCTCTTTCTTTTCTGGGGTAAGGCTAAGTAGTGACCTTAACTTCTGAGATCCCTTTTTCAAAAAGCTCGGGGAGCCCTTCACTTCTTTCTTCGATGTGAGCTCTTTGTTTGGTTCCTCTTTAGTCGCATCAACCAAAGCAGCGATGGAAATGGACTTGGCTGCACCCCCTGCGGGGTCTCTCCTGGCGACCCCCTCCTCCTCCTCTTCCTCCACACTGTTGGTCACATTGTGCATGCTTCTAGAACTTTTCAGCAGGTCCTCTTTGGGTTTCTCGGGCTGTCTGATCCGATTCCTGGTAAGCGTACTATACACATAGTGCTTACTGTTTGCATGATCTAAATTGACTTTTGAGTGGTCAAAGAGCGGGAAACTTCGCCTTTTAAGCAGATTCTCATTTTGTTGTTGATTCTTTAGATTTCCCGTCTGCTTACTGACACACAAGTTCGTATATAAATAGTTGTTCGACTCCGGATGGCCTTCTGCAGCCTGGTTGAAGGCTGCCGAGTGGTTTTCGGGAGCCTGCACTCTTGGCGTCTCTGACTGCAACGGGAGCTTGGGGCCTGATTGGGACAAGGGCTCTTCTGTCAAGTGCTCTCCGCTTGTGGGGGTGTCTGGGGCCTCTTTGGGTGTCTCACTTCCCTGGGAACCAATGATGGTGGAATTGGAGGAGCCAGTTGTACAGCTGTTAACTTCCTGCTGCTCGGGCAGAGTTGGCTTAAACACTAGGGAGGGGCGAAGGCGAGCGTGTGTGTAGAGGGCGCTGCCTTTCAGGTTCTCAGAACTGTCATAGCTGTCAAAGCGGTCCCCCAGAGCCGACCCGGCAGAATCGGGCGCAGCCTCCGAGTGATCGTTTAGGTACGATTCGATTCTCCAGTTACGCAAGAAGGACTTCGTGGTATTTTCAAGGGTGGGCATTCGTTGCTGCAAAAAGCGAACGTGATTGTCTGTCCCATTAAAAGACCTCCGCACGTTTGAATTCCTGTCTGCCAGATGGGTCGTCTTCCTCTGGGCCAGCCAAGTGCCAAAGCTCTGGGAAGGCGTGTCACGGGGGCTCGCATAGCCTCCCCGTGAGGAGGAGGTCACGCTGAGGGTGTCCGAAGGCTTCTTCCAGGCACCAGGAGGGTTGATGGGGCGGTTCCCAGCCCTGTTCAGCAGCAGGTACGGCGCGTTTTCGGGCTGCTCGCCGGCGTAGCTGTGCCTCTTCCAGTTCTCGTTCTGACTAGGCTGATACGGACGGACTGCGCTCGGGCCGTTAAAGTTGGGGACGAAGTGGGGTTTGTAGCCATGGTTTCTAATGCTGTATTTGTCATGTTCGTTCCGAGCGTAGAGCCCTCTGTTTTTGAAGTAACTGGAATCCAGTTTGTGAATTTTGTCTTGTCTACCAAGAAAGTGTCTCTGGCTGGAAACAGAAGCCAAGGAGGAGACGGAGCGCTGGTAAGTGCCGTTTTCCCACAGGGCTTTCCCCTCCTTCGCCCTGGCGGGCTCCTCCTGGGCGAACGAACTGGGGACGCACGATCTGGCATAGAGAGTCCTGAACTCTTCATCAAAGGACTCAACGAGCTGGCCTGTGATTAACTGAACCATGCTGAGGTGAGCTTTTTCAAATGACCACATGTAGCTGAAAGAAATCAAAATGGGAAAATTTTACACTTGCTGAGTTCAAAGGTTAATGACAACATATATTGCTCTACTAAGAGGACTCATTTAATGTCGACAGAAAGGTATTTTTTTGTTGTTTTCCTTGACTACCATAATTTAGAACATCTGCAGTCATGTCATGCTTGTAATACATATGTCGCCCCACTGCCCTATTCATACTTTAAATAACATAGCAATTCAACTTCTGGATTTGAATTCACCCATAATTTTTACTTATCAGAAGTCCAAAGAAAAGTCTGCCGCATACTTCTCATCTCTGCCTACTGATTTTATGGAGTAAAAAAAAATGATATTATATTTCACATATAGCATCTGGGCAAGGCCCAGGCAAACTAGTACAAGAAAAGTTGAGAGAACTGGTCTCTGCTGAGCTCTCCGGTCACATGCCGTGGGACCTCAGTCTACTCATATCCAAAATGAGGACATGAACAGCATAATCACTACGATTCCTTATAGTTCTAACATGTTATAATGCATTATAGGTCTGTGCTAATACATGCATTTTCTCCCTGTGACTTAGTAAGTGTAATTTAGGATGCGGGGACTTCTAAACAGTGAGAGGGTTTGTGGGCAGCAGACTCAGTCATTAACCAGTGCACTCAGTGTTCACAGGATTGGTAAATCTAATCCTCATAAAACAAGCCAGTCAGAATGTCAATTAAGTTCTTTTATTCAGGTACAATTTCTAGGAAAATAAATTTGTAATAAATTTATAGTTCTTTGTGGAACTTCCAATCTGTTTTCCAGAGTTAAGAATTAACAGTTATCTTGAAGCATCACATAAAATTTTAAATCTAATGTTTGAAAATCTAAATAATTAACCCACAGAGTCACTGGGCTGACAAAGAAAATGATAATATGTTATGTATCAAATAATATCCATGATACAATAGGGGTTAATACAAAAGGAAGAACAACAGAGGCATTCTCCACAATGAAGGAGTTTACTATTTATACAGGGGAGACAATAATGAAGGCAGGTGAAATTATTAAAAAGAATGTGCAGAGTAATAATTTAAACTACATGAAATATTATAAACAGCAGTGTGCAACTTAGTATTATTCTGATATGCTTAATGTGATCTAGAATACTTATTGAGTGAATGGTATGAGTAGGACATTTCCTAGGTGCTCTTTATTTACAGATGTGTTGGCCACCAGGGTGACTTCAAAGAAATGGTACAAAAGTGAATCATGAAAGAAATTTTCAATCCAACTGAAGATATGAGTACAAAATATGTTAGCAACACCAAGTAAAGGAATTAACAGCTATCAAATATGAGAAAAATCCCTGGAGAAAATGGGAGTTTAGCAATATTTTGATAGAAATTGGAGAACCCTGAAGTTCAGACAGGAAAGGTGTGGGAGGACAATTTGTGTGAAAGAAGAAACACAGAAAAAGGAAGTAATAAGGGCCATGCATTGATTCCCCATGGAAAACAAATTATATTTAACTGAAGCAAAGAAGCTCTATAAGAGATGGATAAATCTTGAAAGCAAAGCAGAGTTTGATTGTGTAGAATCTGCTTCCAGGTTTGAATAAAGTATAATAAAAAGAGATGTTTGAAGAATGATTTCTTTCAATAGCTAATTATAGTACAGACTTGAAAGATGAGGGATTGTATTTACTGTGATGAGTAAAGTAGTTGGAATAAGGTGATAAGAGACTAAACCAGAGCAGAAATTGACTGGAATAATGAGAAAAAATGTTGAGCCAGTAACAAGAAAGAATGAGAATATCTGCAGGTCATAAAGGATGCGCATAGGTTATGAAACAAGAATGACCTCCAGGCGTGGAGCTTAGGGGCCTAAGAAGATAATGGTACTGGTGAATGTGAGGCAGCGGAAAAGCTTCCATGCTTTGGTAAATCAGAAAGTAATATTGTGATATAATTTCAGGCCGTGGAAAAGACATTCAATCAGAAATATTTAATTTAGAGATTATTCTCTGGAAACACGGACCACTCCCAGAGATAAAAGAGCTACTGATACTGACGGTTAGGCACATTCCTGTAAAATGTCCAGGAACTCAGCCAGTCACTGCTCTGTGAGCTCAACTGTTGATAATAATTTCCTGCACAATTTCCAGTAAGTTCTATAGACCCTCATTCTTAAACATAAAGACATTGCAGAAGATTGGCAGACATTAGAATAAAGTTTAGAAGACAGCTTATAAAGCTTAAAAGCTTAGATGCAATACAGAAACCAGACCAAACCAAACACAAAAAAAGGCACCTGGAGGAAACAGAGGAAATGCACAAATAAGAGCATACACACACACACACACACACACACAAAATATCTTCAAAGGAAAAGGAAAGAAAATAATAAATCTATAAAACACAAATGGGATGCTAGGAAAATGTTTTAAATAGCAGATATTCAAAATATTTGATGACAAATTTTAAAAGGATATTAAATAGGACGATTGAAAGATGTAATTGAAAAAAATCCCCCAGTCAGTAATAATGCCCCCCACCCCTGGAAGGGAAATTGGAGAAAAAAATACAATGGGAGCAGAAATCTAGTTAAGAAGAATTCCAGGGAGAGAGAGAGAGAGAATAGAGATCACTGAGGAGAAGAAACTGTGAAATAATAGATAAGAAAACTTCTCAGAATGGAAAGAAAGAAGTATTTGGATTGCTCAGAATAACAAAAGAAAAAAGGCCTAGAGCTAGAAACATCATAATACATTTGAGAATAGCATGGAATAAAAGAGAAATCCTAGGCCCTGGCCATGTGTAGCTCAATTGGTTAGAGTAGCCTCCTGAAATGCCAAGGTTGTGGGTTCGATCTCAGGTCAGAGGACATACAAGAATCAACCAATGAATACATAAATAAGTGGAACCACAAATTGATGTTTCTCTTTCTCTCTCTCCCTCTCTGTCTCTTTCTCCCCCTTCCTCTCTCTAAAAATCAATAAAGAAAAAAAAAGGAGAGAAATTCTAGATACTTCCAGAAAGAAAAAAAAAGTTACATGAAGAGAATTAGAACAATTGTTTGAGACTTCTTAAATAGCAATTTTGAATGCAGGGCAAGACCTTCCAAATTGGGAGGAAAAATGATTCAACTTAGAGTTTCATCCCCAGTTAAACCATAAATCATCTAAAATCATGAATTTTGGGACTTGAAAAATCCCATGCTGATAGAAAATGTTCTTGAGCAAACTTGGGAGAAAAACCATGACTGGAAACAAAAACGAGTTAAAAATGGTATTAAAAAGTGAGATTTTAAAAACTGTAGCTCAAATTACCCAGGAATATAGAAAATACCAGGCCCCCAACTGTGCTCATTAGAGCTCTAGTCCAGATTGGACATCACAGATTATTGGTAGTAACTGAGCATTTGGAAAAATTTTTTATATGCTAAGAAATCTGTAGTCCACTGGAAAAAAAAAAAAATAGTAGCTACATAGAAAACAAAGTCATTGAGTACACTAAAACAGAATGGTCATCGTTAACTTTGTTATGGAGAAAGTATACTGTAAATCATTCTATCACTCATCAACGATAAATTTTGACACAATTTCATTAATGCAAACCCATACTTCTCATTTAATCAAAAAGTTGTGATAAAACTGTATTGGGCGAATGGGGATCAGAAGGGCAACTGGATATGAGTGGGCACGAAATAGAACTTCTCAATTGCCATAATACAAAGTTCAAAAGATCATATCTAAAAGTGATAAATCGAGAAATAGCAGTACAATCACATTATTTAAGAGAATGAAATATTTATCAGAAGAACTAGCTAAAAGAATTAAATAACTATATCTGGAGGTCAGGAATGAGGAGTATATTGAAATGGAGTAGAAGATATGTTTTGTATTGCATATCTTTCATTTGATTTTTAAAATTATGTGCATATATTTACTTGGATAAAAATTTTTTTTTTCAACCACAGTTTAGATTCAGTATCATTCCACACCAGTTTCAGATATACAGCAAAGTGGCCAGAAAACCATGCACTCTACTGAATGGTCCCTGCCTCCCACAGCCTAAGCACCTACCTGGCCCCATACTCTGTTATCTCAGGATTATTGACTATGTTCCCCACGCTGCAAACTGCATCTTCGGGGCTATTCTGCAACTACCAATTTGTACTGCTTAAGGTCTTCTCTTTTTTCACCCAGCCCCCCAACTTCCCTCCCCTGTACAGCTGTCAGTCTGTTTTCTGCATCATAACTTACTATCCCACCCCCTCCAAACACATGGTTATATATTAGTCATGAAGTTAGGTATGTACTATGAACTCACATATTAAAAAGTAGTTCAAGAGCTCTGAGTTCCTGATTGGGGGATAATAAAGTGAAGTCCAAGGATTAAAAACAGTGCCGAGCTGTGACATAGATTTCTAAATGTGATGATCTGCAAGTCTGATAAAAAATGGCCCCTTAAAGCCAATAACTTCCTTGAAGCTTACTTCACTTCAGTGACAGGAACTTTTATACAGATCATAATATTAAAAAAAGCTTATAAAATTCTCTGTTGGTCAATTTTGTGGGTAATACTAAATATCTTCCAGATTTTCATATGACAATTTCAAATGAGGGTATCCAACTCAAAATTTGATTTATACACATTGATAAAAAGTGTGTGTTTTATCTCATCAATGTTAGTATCACGATATGAAAAAACACTTGTTATGTTTTCTGATAAAACCATCATCATGATGAGTGAGCTGTTGTACAACCTGTGACTATGGTGAGTACAGACACCGGGCCTGGCTAGAAATGCTGAGTAAAGAATTTTGAAATAAAGAAGGTGGCATTTTGAATTTGCCTATGAGGAAAATAATGACAATTATAGAATGTGAGAGACAAAGGATGGCTTTAACCAGAAGAAAATAAAAATTTTAGCGACTTTCTATGAAGACTGGTTCATAACTGTTCCACCAGATCCTGTTAGAATATTGCTTACAATAGGAAACTTCCATGATAATTTGTAAGAAAAAACAAAAGGGACAAGGGCTGACAACCATGAATTTTTTTAAAGAAATATATTTAAAATTAACATGAAATCATAAAGAGGGAGAGTTGTTAGATAAGAGTTTGATTAATTTTTATAATCTGTGGTCCTAGGTGTTCCATATCCACTTCCATAAATAGTAACTTAAACTCTGCCTCTGGCTTATGATATAGATAGAAAGATACCGAGTTTCTGTTGCTGTTGTTCGCTTTTCCCATCCTCACCTCTAAAGTAGCTCAGCTATAGTCATCTCAACATATAGCACCGATTAATACTGGGTGGTAGCAAAGCAAAGTGCAGGTAAATTTATTGCTGAAGATCATCTTAAAAGTCAAGTTAAATAATAAAAATAGAAAGCATTCATTATGATGAGATTAACTAATAAACACTATTCTATAAGTCAAGTGAACTCCCAATTTTAATTAAAATTTCCATTAAAACCAAGTGGATCTGAACAAATATATACACATATAATGACTTTTTTAAAGGGCTCATTAATTTTCAGTGCTAGTTGTAATTTCTGCTCTTTACACGTTTTCCTTTGGAACTCCAAACTACATTTTCAAAAAATGGTCCCCTAGAAAGGGAAGGTCAGCAGGTAACAGTTTTTTTAAAAAGGCCTAAAAAAATAGCTAATATTAGAGGCTTGGATGCATTAACTCTAATTCTCATAACAACATGAGGTAGTTCTACGACTACCCTCCTTTTACAGAGAAGCAAACTGAAGTGCAACCAAATTAAGTAACCTGCCCACAGCCTTCCACTTTAGCATGGTGCCTCCTTCTTGAGGACTCCTTAAGTTCCTAAAGTTTCCCCTAACACTGTCCTGCTTCCATCCACAGCTCTCCTGGCTTCTTCCCACAGTCTTTAGCACTGAGTCTACTCTGCCCTGGTGACCTAGAGTGCATACATGCTTGCTGGTTCTTTCTTCTGCCAGTTGATATAGCCTCACTGTGTATTGCATTCAGGACCAATGCCTAAAATTTACAAGAGAATATTAGGGCAGCACTTGCACTGTGGAGCCAGGGAGATCTGGACAGCGCCACCAGTCCTAGACTGCCTGTGGCCCTTAGCTGTGGGGTTTTAACAAGTCACTTAAATTTCATCATTTATAAAATGTGGATGAAAAGAACAGCCCTGCAGATAAGTTGCAAGGATGGAGCTGAAATATGTAAAAGAGCTAAGCTTGAACAGAATACCTGTATCACCAGTGGAAGCCTCCAAAGATGCTGGAGAGTAGAATCTGAGTCACTTGTCTAGTGTCTACTATGACATTTTTAACAACCAGATTCTTAAATGCATTTTTTTTAAAAAAATGTATTTTTATTGATTTCAGAGAGAGGAAGGGAGAGGGAGAGATCAATGATGACAGAGTCATTGATCAGTGGCCTCCTGCACGCCCCACACTGGGGATCGAGCCCACAACATGGGCATGTACCCTGACAGGGAATCAAACCATGACCTCCTGGGTCATGGGTGGGTGCTCAACCACTGAGCAACACCGGCTGGGTTTATATGCATTTGTTGGTAGTACTATAGTGACTACATGATAATTATCAGCTTCTTAATACAGCTGAAATTTTTTAAAAAATCTGTTACATAGATTATTCAAAAATGATACACAGCTTCTATTTTTATGAACAATTGTTAATAAGTCCATACTATGTACTGTTTTCATAAGGCACAAAAACACTTTTTGTATTGTAAAGCTGTAGGAAACCTGAGATATTAGTCAACCTCCTCATTTTGAGGATGAAGAACTTGAAGCCAAAGGAAGTTATGTGATTTGCCCAATGCCTTAATGTTCTTTAGAAACCCAAGTCTCCAAGTTTCCATGCAAGCATGCTGTTTTTTATTTTTAAGAAATAACTAAACAAACCACATTAAAATTTGAAACTAATAATTTCTGTAAATGATTGATAATGCTTTAGGTAGACACAAACTAGGCTATTTTTTAAAAAAGACAAGAAATAAGTGTTGATGAGAGGAAAGGGAACCCTCGTGCACTGTGGGTGGGAATGGAAATAGGTACAGCCACTGTGGAAAACAGTATAGAGGCTCCTTAAAAAATTAAAAATACAATTTCCCTATGACCCAGCAATTCCACTTCTGGGTATTTATCTGAAGAAAACAAAAACACTAACTCAAACAGATATCTGCATCCCCATGTTTATCGCATTGGTTATTACTTAAAATAGTCAAGATATGGAAGCAACCTAAGTGTCCCTTAATAGATAAATAGATAAAAAAGATGTGGTATATATACACAATAGAATACTATTCAACCATAAAAAAGAATGAAATCTTGCCATTTGCAACAACATGGATAAACTTGAGGTCATTATGCTAAGTGAAATAAGTCAGACAGAGACAGACAAATACGGTATGATCTCACTTATATGTAGAACCAAAAAAAAAAAAAGTTTAGAGATACAGAGAACAGATTGGCGGTTGCCAGAGGCAGGATGGGTAAAATGGGTGAATGTGTCAAAAGGTACAAACTTCCAGTCATAAAATAAGTCAGTCCTGGGGATGGGATGTACAATATGGTGACTATAGTTAATAATACTAAATTGCATACTTAGAAGTTGCTAAGAAAGAAATCTTCAAAGTTCACATCACAAGGATAAAAAAGTTTTTTTGTAACTGTGTATGGTGATGGATGTTAACTAGACTTATCATGGTGATCATTTAGCATTATATACAAATATGGAAACCATTATATCTGAAATTAATATAATGTTACATGTCAATTATAACTCAATTTAAAAAAGAACTAAGCAGATTACAATTAAAATTTGAAACTAATAAGTTCTATAAATGATTATTAAGGTGAGAGGTAAATACAATGATCTTACCTGTAAGAACCATACATAACTTTCTGGCAGTCAATTAACAAAAATTTCTGCTCCAATTTTCCATGAAATTTGGCTCCTGTTTTTGAAAGATAATCTTGGCCTCTTACTGTCCTCACTCGAATATTCTAGAATTATACATAAATATAACATAAAAATTAAGGCTAGAAAGGGGAATATTTTGAAAAGTAAAATATATGTTAATATAAAACCTTGGTACCAAAAAAAGTGTACTTGAAATAATTTTTAAACACATAACCAAAAAAAATAGAAGCAAATTTTAAAACATCACCCAAAAATGAAATATTCCAAAAAGAGTAACTTAAAATATGATGGTTTCATTTACACAGAATGTGGTTTCATAAATCACTTAGAGTCCTACTGCAAGATCCTTTCAGGTTATAGTATTGTAATGTCAAAATAACTTAGGTTAAAATGTATCTGCCTTTTAAAGTCAAATGGAACTGAAATCTCTATGCCAAATGATTGTGATAAGCAACATCTGCTGCATGAATCACTCGAGTCAGTGGTTTCAAGGTTGTACATGCAAAACAGAAGCATTAATTATGACTGGTAGCAAAGAAAATTCAGCAGCTCAGTTGCCTCCGTATGAAGAAAAGCACCATATAAATTTATCATGAAGATGTGTATTTTCAGTTATGTTCGAAAAAGTACAGGAGGACTCTTTTGTGATCAATCATTTTTCTACCTTAAATTTTGTATTTTTTTTCTATTTTACTTTTGGAATACTATAGCTTAAGATGTCTTAAATTCGACTAAGACAAAAATAGTACACAAACTATGAAAACAGTACCTGAGATTCTTACCCTGAGACGCTGAACTTGACAACCCTGTTTCTCAGTCATACTTAGGAAATGATTAAAGTTGAATTCATCGAGCAGAATGTATACAGATACCCCTCGAGTTGATGCCTCCACTATTTCTTTGAAAATGTCCACGTCTGTAAACATGTCCATCACTAAAGCAATGACCTGTTAAAGATAAGAATATCAAACAATTTTAGATACCCACTGGGAAAAGATCTAGAAATTAGTGCTTTCAATAAAAATTAGATAAAATAGAAAATTAAGTACATAATACATATAAATGTACATACAAATATTTGTGTTTTCTAAAATAGAAGACAGAGGATAAAAAACTATGTTGAAAATAAACAAATTACTATATACGGATATGTAACACTACCTAATGTCATACTAGCTTTAAGTCAAAGGGAATCTACATTTTCTTTTCTTTTTTTATATCTTTATTGATTTCAGAGAGAGGAAGGGAGAGGGAGAGAGAGATAGAAACATCAACGATGAGAGAGAGTCATTGATCGGCTGCCTCCTGCACACACCCCACTGGGGATGGAGCCCACAACCTGGGCATGTGCCTTGACCGGGAATCGAACCATGATCTCCTGGATCCTAGGCTGACATTCAGCCACTGAGGCATGCCCGGCCAGGTGGGAATCTACATTTTAGTGTGATGTTCAATGAAGGGAAAATCTGAATCATGGCTTACAGATTGCTATAGGGTAGATGGCAGGGACAGGTAGATGGAAGGTGGACATCAGTGCTACAGATTTACATGAGAAACATTTCCCAGGAAAAGCAAGATTTCTGGAACTAGTTGTTAGGAATAAAACTCATGCCTGGCGAGCATGGCTCAGTGGTTGAACATCCACCTAGGATCCAGGAGATCGAGGTTCAATTCCAGGTCAGGGCACATGCCTGGGCTGCAGGCTTGATCCCCAGTAGGGGGCGTGCAGAAGGCAGTCGATCAGTGACTCTCTCATCATTGATGTTTCTCTCTCTTTCTCTGTCTCTTTCTCTCCCTCTCCCTTCCTCTCTCTGAAATCAATAAAGATATATTTAAAAATAAATAAAACAAACAAATAAATAAATAAAACCTTGGAGACCTGGGACCAAAAAAAATCTTCTAGAAATAGAAACATAACTAAGTAAGAGCCAAAAGTGAGAAAGGGTATAAAAAGACTTGAAGACCAGAAAATTAAATGCACATGCCTAAAATTAGTTTAGGAAACAGAATAAGCAAAAGAAAAAAAAGGAGAAAAATGGCAAGATAGTTAAGAAGGTAAACGCAGGGAGAACTATCCTAAAGAACAGGCCCCTAAAATGGACAGAGTCCAAGTTAACTGTTGGAAAAATAACCATTACTAACTCCAAAGAGCACTGGGAGAGAAATAATGTTAAAAAAAGGAGGAAATCATTTGACTGACCACTTACTTTGTGTCAGACAAGAATGACCAAATCCCTGTCCTTTGTGAAGCTTACATTCTAGTGGGGGAAAGACACCATAAGCAATTAACATAATAAATAGATAAATATATGATAAGCTATAAGATGATAATTTTATTGGGAAAGATAGAGCAGGATAAGAGGGATCATGGGTCCCTGAAAACTGAGAAGGGGGTTGAAGGGTTCCAGGTCTCTTTGAGAAAGTGTCCTTTGAACAAAGACATGGAATTGAGGAAGTCATGAAAGTGGGTATCCTGAGGAATTATGTTCTCGGCAGAGGAAACCAGTAGTGCAAAGGCCCTATGTCAGGAACATGCCGGCACATTCAAGAAACAGCAAGGGGAGAGCAAAAATGAAATGAGAAAAGGAAAGAAAAACCACAATGCTTTGAAGGCATTATTAAACCTTCAGCAATTTTTCCCTCTTTTCTGAATTAAATTGTAAGCTGTTAAGGCTTTTAAGTTGGGATAATAATATCACTTGATTTATGTTTCAAAAATATTGCTCAGGCCACTATGTTAACAACAGAATAACAGGCTTTAAGTGTGGGAGCCAGGGTAGAAACAGGGACAATTAGAACTATTGGAGCAATTCAACTAGGAGGTGATGGCCCCAGTTCCGGTTACCATCAGTGATAAAGAGAAATGGTTAGATATTAAACATGAGATATAAGACAGAAAAGGAGAAAAAGAGAAAGACTTTAAGATTTTTAGCCTCACCAACCTGAAGAACCAACTTTCCTCAATTGAGATAGTGAAGTCTGCAGCTGTATAAATTTTAGAAGATTCATAAGGCAAGTTAGTTTTGAGGTGCTTAGATATCCCAGTGGACTGCGGAGTAGAGAGGTCTAGGCCAGAGATGTAAATTGGTACCGTGGTGTATAGATGACAATTAAATCCAAGTCACCAAACAGAAAATATGACAAAGGACTGAGTCCTGGGACAAGAAGTACCAACAAAGGAGATAGAGGAAACTAAGAGAAGGTGGCAATCTTGGAAGGCAAGTTAAGTGTCTCAAAAAGGAGGGTGTGCTCAAGTGTCCAATCCTACTGCTAGGCCAAGAAACATGAGGATTATTATATAAACTCATTGGATTTAGTAATATACAGGTATTGATGAGTTCCACAAGTATAGTTTTCGTGGAGTGGTAAGAGCAAAAGGCTTATTTAAAGAGGTTTAGGAGGGGGTGGGAGTAGAGAAATAGGTAACTCTCTGAGTAATTTAGCTATAATAAGCAGCAGAGAAATGAAGAGTTTGCTGTGGATAAAGCTGGGACAAGAGAAGTTGTATTTTTTCTCTTGTTTTAAGGTGAGAGAAATAATAGCATGTCTATATGCTAAAGAAAGGCTCCAGTAAAGAATGAAAATGAATGGTGCAAGAAAAATGAATGAAAATTAATGGTGGGAGGTGAGGTGGGGAAGGAGAGAATTTCTGGAGCAATGTTTGGAGTAGGCAATAAAAAGATAGGATCTTGTACAAAAGTACAGTAATTAGAGCACAGAGAATAAAGACCAGTAAAAGATCATCTGTACTATGAAGACAGAAGGCCAAGTGTAAGCATGCAGACACTGGTGAAAGGGCAGATGGGGTGATGGTTCGATGGAATTTCTCCTGCATGCTTCAGTTTTCTCACTGAACTAGAAAGCAGGGTCTTCCCCTGAGAAGACAGTGAATTACAAAAGACATGTGAGAGGCATGAGGAAAGGGGTATTAAGTAGTCACCTAGGTTAGTAGGAAAAGGAATACCCTATAGAAATATAGTATGATTTCAGGGCAGCATTTAAGACTCATAAGGTCATAAATTTAAACTGAGACCATTCAATGTGGTTGTGAGTTATTCTCAACTTTGTTTGGTTGCAGGAGCACAAGGCATGGAGCAGGCAAAGAGTTTAACAAAGTGGGAGAAGGGAGTGGAATTCAAGGTGTATGTAATATGGAGAGAAAAAGAGGAAAGAAGATGTCGTGGATAATACAGGTGTGAAATGAGGGTGGGATCAATGAATCTGAGGTCTTGCTGGGGCTGAAGGACAGTTAGATTTAAATAATTGTTATTTTTTAATGCTTATTGAAATACAATAATAAAAAGAAGATAATAGGTCATCTTTCAAATATATACATTAATATTACAGATAAAATATATTGCCTTGTATTTACCTCATATTGTAATAGATGAAACAAAATTGGCAATGAATTGATAATTGTTGAAGCTGGTTGATGGTACATAAGTATTCTCTTACTATTCTCCCTATTTTTGAAACTTCCATAGCACAAAGTTAAAAAAAAAATGAAAGTAGTATTGGATATTAACAGGTACCAGAGGGAATAAGCCAGAATTATAAGTACAAGTGGTAATCAGATGGGTACATATGAAATAGGTTATATAAGATCTGCAGTTACAGGCTATGATACCACAAAGGGTATGAGTGGGAGTCAATGGGTGAGTATACATGGGACACCACCATGGGAGGAGGGAAGGACTGGTCTTTAGGAGGATCTCTTACATGTTTACTGAAAGTGCCAGGAACTCAGACTGGAACACTAGTAAAAAGAGTGTCAGAGAACAAAAATTGTCAAGAAATGAGAGACAGTGGCACGACCTGGGAACAGACACATGGCAACAACAGCCAGGCTGATACAATGCGCACATTGTGACTATGTCAGAAAATGAGTAAAGTCACAGGTAATATATTAAATCATTCCATTTACACTATCAAGATGTTAAAACGAAATACTGGACCACGCATAAATTATACAAGTTGATGACATTCTCCAAACTACCTGTGCAACATACTTGAATTAGATTTTCTCTAGAAAGAGCAATTTCAATCATTCCAGTCGCCTCCCAGGATCCTTTTCTTATTTATAAATGGTCTGAGGTGCCAGAAGAAGGGAGAAGCTAGTGATAACAACCTCACTCATGTCTTGTGAAAATTCTTTGTAACATCAAGTTTGTGAAAAACCTTCAAATCATATTCACAATTATCATTTTGTTGTTGACACTGTTACAGATGTCCCCCAATTCCCCCCTTTGCCCAGTTCCACCCAGGCCCTGCCCCCTCATCCCCTGACCTTCACCACACTGCTGCCTGTGATTAATGAGTTTACCCTGCATTATTGAGTGGTGTGACGATTAATAGGCACTGAGATGAAGGAAAGAAAATGTCCACATTATAAACTTATTTTACAAAATAACTCTTAAAAATATATGTCTGCAGCAGTCTGGCACAATTTTTTTTTTTTAACTAGAAAGGAATTTTAAAATCAGCATATCTAAAGAATTTATTTTTAATTCGCCAGATAGTTTCATGTAACAAATTACTTACTGGAAACTTTGGAAATGAACAAATACACATTACCAGGATAAATAAAAGTTTTTGTTTGCAAAGAGTAATTGAAGTCATTCAGCCAATGGATGATTCTAGCACATCAAAGACAGAACAAATGCCAGTCTCTCTTGCCTGACAGATAATAAATAGACTGGATCAGAATCCAGGAGACTAGATCACACACTTTTGACAAACTTATCTGATGTCAATTGAATCTGGTAGTTTATCAGGACTTCTGGTGTGTTGCACCATCACCTGATATGTTGAAACATAATATAAAGTCTACAGAAAATGTCAGTTGTGCCAAGAGAGGTAATATAAAATGTATTTCTCTCTCTCTTTGTTTTTAAGTGGTAGGTTACGTTCCTGGAAATGAATAAATAATTAGAGATGAGATATGCCA